ACTGCAGCACTCAACAAGTTCGTTTCCAAGTCTGCAGAAAAATGCCTGTCTTTCTTCAAGATTCTCCGGAAAGCTTTCGAGTGAGGACCTGAGGCTGAGGAGGCCTTTCAAAGGCTCAAAGCCTACTTGGCTATGCTTCCTCTCCTTTCACATGCCACACCAAGAGAAATATTATATATGTACCTTTTTGTTTCCCCATTGTAAACTCTGTCCTCTTTAAGAACAATGATGGAGTGCAAAAACCCATCTATTATGTGAGCAGAGCATACCGAAGTGTAGAAATCAAATATTCAGGGATAGAAAAGCTAGCACTCGCCCTCATCTCAACAACTAGGCATCTACAACATTATTTCCAGAGTCACACCGTGGTTGTGATCACAGATAAGCCTTTAAAGAGAGTTTTTGGAAAAATCGAATGTATCTGGGAGACTCCTCAAATGGGCAGTGGAACTGGGGGAGATCGAGCTTGGACGTGCAAAGCAATCTGACACCCGATGAGAACAACCAGACACCCGACGAGGACAACCAGACACCCGGAGATGACAACCAGACACCCGGCGATGACAACCAAGCGCCCAGGCCATCCAAGGTGCCAAGGCTCCTAGGTCAGGTGTGCAATCGCCTAGGCACTCCCTGGCGCCCAGGCACCCAACCTACTCCCACAGCAATCTCTGAACCCTCCTCTCTGCCTCTTTGGAACCTTTATGTGGATGGCTCCTCGACCTGCCAATCTTGGAGGTGGAGCAGGCTTAATCCTAATCAACCCTGAAGTCACTTCAATCAAGTATGATGTGAAGCTCCATTTCATCACCTCCAACAATGAGGCAAAATATGAGGCACTCCTGTCCGGCCTAAGATTAGCAATAGAGATGGAAGCCCAACACCTCAACATTTACAGTGATTCCCAACTGATAGTCAACCAAGTGAAGGGTGAGTTTGAGGCAAAAGGAGCCAAAATGCAGGAGTATCTTGTTATGGTGAAAGCCTTGATCTCCAAGTTCCAATACTTCCAAATATACCATATCCCGAGGGAGGACAACATGGTTGCCAATACACTAGCCAGACTTGCCTCATCCTCAGAAGCCCCACCAGAGCCAGCATTCATTGGTCATCAGTTCGAAGCAAGCAAACTAGACATAGAAGCCACAAACGTCAATTGTGCGTCCGCTGAGTCAAATTGGATGACCCCGACAATAGCATACCTCTAGGAGGATGTACTGCCAAATGATCCCCTCAAGGCCAGAAAGCTCATGATGAGAGCCTTTAAGTTTATTATTTTACAAGATACCTTATACAAGAAAGGCTACTCTCTGTCGTTACTACAGCGTTTTTCGCTTGAACAAGCTAACTATGCCCTGCGGGAGATCTATGAAGGGATTTTTGAGAATCACTCTAAAGGACGTTCCCTCACCCACAAGGCGCTAAGACAAGGCTACTTCTAGCCTAGCATAGTAAGGGATGCCCAAGAATTCGTCAAGAAGTGCAACAAGTGTCAACGCTTCACCACTGTGCCTAGGTAGTCGCCAGAGGAACTCACAGTTATCACAAATCCGTGGCATTTATCCAAATGGGGCATCGACATCCTTGGCCTCTACCTCTCAGCAGAGGACAGTGCAAGTTCATGGTGGTTGTGGTGGACTACTTCACTAAATGGGCGAAGGCCGAACCCTTAGCAAAGATAATAGACGCAAGGTAAAAGATTTTAAGTGAAAAAACCTGGTTTGTCACTTCGAGATACCCCACGACATTTTCAGCGACAATGTCAAGCAGTTCAACAATAAGCTCCTAAACTCTTTCTGCTCCGACTTTCAAATAAAGCAGTCTCATTCCAGCCTAGTGCATCCGCAAGCAAACAGACAAGTAGAAGTCATGGTGAGAACAGTGCTACGCTACCTAAAGACAAGGCTCGAAAAGGCAAAGGGTCTTTAGGTTGAAGAGCTCCCAAGTGTATTATGGGCCTACGGAACCACGCCAAGAACTCCAACTGAGGAAACCCCATTTTCCTTTGCCTTCGGAACTGAGGTTATCATCACTGTGGAGATAGGGGTACATTCCCTAAAGATCCAACTCCACGACCATATCACCAACGAGGAAGTACTCTGCATCAATCTTGACTTGGTAAAGGAGGCAAGGGAGATGGTTGTGGTCCGCAACGCGGAGTACAATCATCGTATGGCAAAATACTACAACTCAAGGATGAAGCCTCGTTCCTTCCAATCAGGAAACTTGGTGCTCAAAAAAGTGATCCTTGCCATAAATGATTCATGTAAAAGAAAGCTGGGACCAAACTCAGAGGGACCTTACCTCATAACAGAAGTGGTGAGGCCAAGCACCTACAAGATCCAGAGTTTCAAGGGGAAGGTCCTACCCCACGCATAGAATGCTGAGCACCTGAAGAGGTACTATTAGTGACACCTTAAGAAAGCAAAAAAGTTGGAGACTTGTTTTTATTTTTTGTACTTTTTTGGGGGCTATTACCCAATATTGTTTTGCATAAGCAATGAAGGAATAAAACTATTGTTTTACATAAGCAGTAAATGAATAAAACTTTCTTGATTTACTCCAAAAAGATATTTGTATTTTTGTATTCAATTTCAAAGGAGCATCAGTAGCAAAAAATCATTTTTACAAAAGTGAGACTATATACTGTCTTTCTAAAAAAAAATCATCAAAAGTCCCCAACACCTTAACTACTCTCATGGTCGTTCTCTTCCTCCTCCTCCTCCTCCTCGTCATCCTCACCATCATCAGAGCCTCCATCACCATCATTACGCGCCTTGGTTAGCACGAAGTCTGAAAGGTCAATATTAGGGAAAGAAGTAGAAATCTTTCTCCAGAGCTCCTCATAATCGTCAATGAAAGCATCTGCAAGGCCATTCTCCAGGTCCACCTCAGCCCGAGAAGCTCTCTCTTGAGCAACCTTCACCTTTGTCTCTACGATAGCCTCTTTGAGCATGACCCTCTCACGGGTCTCTGCAAGCTCAGCCTCACTGAACGTGGCCCTCTAACGGGCCTCCACAAGCTCAGTCTCGAGCTTGGCTGCCCTCTCATGGGTCACTGAAAGCTCAGTCTCAAGCCTAGTTACCCTCTCACGTGTCGCCATAAGATCAGCATCAGAAGCCCTGCCAGCAGCTTCAAGTTCACCAATCCTCCCCTGAGCAGCATGGAGCTCCTTTTGCATAACATCGTGATCTTGCTTCAGCTTGCCGTGAAAATAGGCCCTTGAAAGTAAACACATAGATGCAGTAGAAGCCTGAAGAAAGATAAAAGTCAAAAGAACGTCAAAAGCTTAAGAAAGGGTTGGAGAAAGGGAGACAACCGACCCTTACTTGAGTCAGGCCTTCCAAAAAAAGCTAATAATTCCCTCGGTGCCCAAAGCACTAATCTCGCTAACATCGTTGGGAAACATAAATCGCCCAAGTCGATCCTTTATGACTAGCGCGTTACCCAACATGGAGCTGATCTGAATCGATGCCCTTCTGGAAGTTTCCACAAGAAAAATGGATGAATGGAGGGCAGAAGATGTGGCCAACAAGGGGGACTCTGGAGTAGGAGATACAACTGAAGGAGTGTCCAACTGAGGAGGCACCACTGGGGGGGTCATTTGATGAGAGCACGCCTTGGGTACCACTAGAGGAGTTGCTCGAGGAGAGCACACTTTGGGCGACTCCATTGGAAAAGTCACCTGGGAGACATTGCCTATCCTTGCCACCTTAGAAGGAGGAGGGGTTTCTACCAGAAAGGCGGGACCCAATCACCTTTCTATCTACTATTGCAAAGGAAATAAAGGGTTATCTAGATGAAAAATCCAAGAAAAGGGAAAAAATATAAGAGAATTAACATAGTCTTTATTTTCAAAGAGGGTCCTGGAGATGATCTACCAGTCCCACCACCGTGTTTGGACATAAGAACTCCAAAGTATTTTTTCAGTGTGGGCCCTCACAACCTGCAACTTCCATTCTTGGTCCTTGGAGAGCATAGGAGAATCTGCAAGAGGCATGATGAGTAAAAAAAAGGCAAAGGAAATAAAGTAAGTGTAGGGCGTACCAAATTTCTTAGGAGTACCCCATTCTATTGGTACCAAAGTCCTATCGGCCTCTGCAGCCCACTCTCCGCCGACAAACATAAAGCGAGACTTCCAACTATGACAGTTGGAGCGCAGCCCGGTAATCTACTTGTCCCTTATAGTAAAATAATTTCAACCCCGATTGGGAGCAAGAGTCTCACTCAAAGTATAGGCTCCATGAAACTCGACAGGAGAGACATCCACATGGTGCACTTTCCTCCACAACACCAAAAAGCACAACAAAACCTTCCAACCATTGGGCGACAATCGCCCTGGTATGCAAAATACGGCAAATGGAAAAAGACATAGGGAACCTGAGCCCAGCCTCAAGCATCTCCTCATAGATAGCAATGTCACCAGAGGAGTCATTAAAGGCAGGCTCACCCATCTCAGCCCGACAGCACAGCACAGTCGGAGGAATGTGGTAGGTGGAGACAATCTGCAAAATATCAGAGTCTGTATTTAAATTGCTAGAAATGGTACTCACCTTAGACCCATCATCATCAAGGGTCACCTTTCCTCGGTGTTTTTTGCTACGAGGACGTGAAAAGTTGCCTGAGCCATTAGCAGAGAGGCCCTGAGTTTGACTTTTATGAGTACTGCTTGAAGGAGCCAAATCATCCGCCACATTCCCAGAGTTGTCACCACTAAAAGTGCCCATGGCTAACTGGGTCTCACCCAATGGTAGAGAAGCCTCAGCGGTTTGATCTACTCGCTTGGACAGCTTGCCTTTCGTCTGGCTTACTCACCCAATTGGGGTCATCTGGGCGCCCAACCCAGCCTCTGCACACCCATCTCCACAAGCTTGCACGCCAAAACTGCTCAGATTGGCGCCACGTTGCCACCTCCCTCACACGGACACCGAGCTCGCCTGGACTGCCCAAAACAGCGCCTAAATCGGTGCCCAGGTCGGCCCCCACACCTACACACATGCCTAGGCTAGTACCCCATGCGTGCCTAGTAGTCCCTGTTTTTGCGCACCCAGCCTCGCTCCTAATTTGCTCATCGCTGCTCAAATTGGCATCCTGGACAGCATGTTGCACGCGCAAATCAGCGTCTGCGGCTCGCCTAGGACAACTCCCCCTAGCTCTTGCTCGCCCAAAACATACCCTCTTTAAACCTCCATACCTGTCTGTAAAGGTGCGCGCTCAGCAGAGGCGCTCGCTTGTGGTGCACTCCCAGCAGAGGTGCCTCCTCTGCTCACTCCATCCTGCTGTGTTGCTCATCCATGGATCCCACACATGGCAACAGGCACCTCGCCACCCTCCTCTTCTGTATAGGCAGTATGTCCTAGAGTAGTGGGCGCCCATGGAGCCCCCACCTCGGTGCTCAAAACCTCCCTAGAACCGCCTGCCTCCTCTCTTGGAACAAATCCAGTCTCTTCAAGATCAATGGATATTGACCCATCTTCTCCTTCAATCGCCATGGCTTTCTGAAATACTCAAACTCAAGAAGTTTCTTGAAAGATTTCAGGAAGAGCACTCCCCTTCACTCTCTCAAATTCTATGGAATGGGTGGAATGGGGAAGAAGCTCTCTATTTATACGAAGAATATTTTTTAAAATCCTCTTAAGGAAAGGAAAAGCAAAAAGCCCAAAATTACAACCTAGAGCTCTTTAAGAATCCAAAAAAGGAAAGGAATGAGGGAGTGTATATAGTCAATGGAGTCCTACAAGCAAAATGAGTCTACTGGAAAGGAAGGGGTCACCGATCAAGAGGAGTTTTCAAAAAATTCAGATTTAAAAAGGGTTGCTCGCTATTTTGACCATAAATTTTACTCCGTTACTCCAAATAGGGCCCATAATATATCAAATCGAAACTCTCGACGAGTCCCACCAGAATCACAATTGTTGGTTATAAGTGATGTTATTAAAAGCCCAAAAAAGGCCTAGAAGCACATGTTTTGGCCTCCCAAAAATTTTTCAGTTATGCCGATCAGCCGAAAATTCAAACTCAAACTGAATGCCCTCTTTTCCAAGTTCCATTAGATGTAGAGCATTGGAGGGCAAATGATGGGCCAAGCCCAAGGGCCTAGCTCAAATTATAAGCCTGGTCCAAGTTTATAGCCCATCTCCAGAAGATCCAGCAAGTCCAGTTTAATGTGGTTAATCTGGTCAAGTTCATCAAGCTCAAGGAGTTACATTAGCAGGGAGCACACAGGGTCATCCAAGGCCTCATCCTCGCCGCCTTAGAGAGATTCAACCCTCATCTCATCCTTTAACCGAGTCCCATAGAGAGTATTTTAATCGCCTTACCTATTAAGGAGAGGTCGCCACCTCCGTCGGATCAGTTATTTACTTACTATTAAATCACCTCAATCCGTTATGACCGCCAGACTAGCTATTTAATTACTATGCGTTATGAGACGACTATAAATTGTAAGTCCCGCCAACACTTGGGGGCATCATACTTAGTCGAACACAACTCTCATCTCCCTCTCTAAGCTTGTAACTATCTGCTCTCCTTGCACACTTGAGTTACTAAAATATCCAGTGACCTTTGTCATTCAAAGTGGACGTATGTCACGTTGACTGAACCACTATAAACCTTGTCTTCTCTCTCCCTCTACTTATTTACTACATTTTGTACTGCTTACTTGACTAGTGGTGTGCAAACCCATTTGTGCATCATCACATTTGGTATCTTTTGTCCAACATAATGGTTTAGAATTTCATCATGTTGAATGCGTTGAATGTGTTCTTGCATTATTAGATCAAATTCTGCTATCATTTCAATTATACTTAAAAAAATTTCATTAATTTCTCCAAATTGCCAAATTATTTTTACCAAGATTCTTTACAACCGTAATAATTCTCACTAATACGTTTTTCCTATATTTTTTTCTCTCTGTTAATTTGTTCTTAGATGTTTTTATCAATTGTTTCACTTTTTAACAATCTTATTTCTAAATCAATCCAAGTATTCATATTAGCAATATGTTCATTATATGTTTCATGGCTTTTAAGTTTAACATAAGTTTAATACTATGATTCTTATCAAACAACTTACAACAAAAACAAAATCCTCTATCCAAATCTTTTGAATATACTAGTCATTTTCTCTCTTGTGTCTCCTCATTTGTTAATTTACGAATATAGCGTATACTGAAAAAATGTCTAGAAAGCTCGTCTTTGGGAAAATTTAAATCATTATTTCTAATAGAACCTTTTTCTACAAGCAAGCAATGCAACACATGTGTTGCACGTGAATAATTTTTGTTAAAAAAATTAATAGATAAATATTTAGTATATGAGTCCTTGAATTAAATATTATCTCAAATTTACCAAATTTATTTTTTCATCTCTCATGCTCCACTATAAAATTTTTGAAAACTTTGTATATTTTCAAGAGTTATTATTCTAACTTTAAGAAAAATAATAAAAAAAAAAAAAAAAAATTAAAGTTCTATTTTGTTTCTATAATTTTGTAATTGAAAGTGACTTTTTAGTAATGTTTGAAAATTAAATTTTTTATAATTAATTTGATTAAGATTCCACTTATAAATCATTGAATAAAATAAAAATAATTATCAATTTACCAATCGTATTGGAACTTACTATATTTAGGATTAGTTATGTCAATTGAGATAAAATTTAATATGCAATGTCATAATATATATTATAAATCATATTAAATTTTAAAAAAAAATTCAAATTTTCACATAAAATGTTAACATAATTTAGAAAATTTATTGCAACTAAAAAATTTGTAAAACTATATATACATTATTTTTTATTTTAAAAATAAAATGGTTAAACATTTTGATAAAAAATAAAATATACATATGTAGTCATAATATTATCTTTATAAATGAGATGAGTATTATTATATTGATGAAATTTTGAAAGTTTTTTTGAAAATTTTTTTAAAATGTAAAATAATATATATATTTTTTAAGAATAATATAATCAATCAAAAAGTTTCATAAAAATTGACATTTATAAATAGAGAATAGATAATTAGAAAATTAATTTGATTAAAATTCTACTTATAAATCATTGAGTAAAATAAAAATAATTATCAATATACCATTCATATTAGAGTCATACTATATTTAGGATTATCTAGGTTAATTGGAATCAAATTTAATATACAATGCTATAATATATATTATAAAGAATATTAATTTTTTTTTAAAAAAATATAGTTTTCGCATAAAATCTTAACAAAATCTAAAAAGTTTACTGCGACTAAAAAATCATGCAAAATTATATATACATTTATTTTTTTATCTTAAAAATCAAAGGGTTAAACATTTTGATGAAAAATAAAACATAAATATGTAGTCATAATATTATCTTTATAAGTAAGGTGAGTAATATTATATGATGAAATTTTTTAATGCTTTTTTGAATATATGTTAAAACTTATAATGGCGCATATATATTTAAGAGTAATATAATCAATCAAAAAATTTTATAAAAAATGACATTTATATAAAGGGAATATATAGCTAAAAGTGATTTTAGATATAATTTAGAGATTTAATTGCATAATTTAGATATTAAGTGTGGAAGGATAGAATGAACTTTTTAATTCTTTATGAAGGTAAAATAGTAAATCAAAAGTTTTTTATGTTAATGTACTTTTATTAGTAGTATAAATATAAATAAGTCTCTTAGTTTTGTATTAATATTTTTCCATTGGCTTGGATCATAAATATTCATAGCATTATAATTACTTGTTTCACTAAGATTTTCATGGTCTAATTATTTTGTTTGTTCTTCATCATCTATTGTCGTATTACATGTTTGACTAGAATTGTGCATATTTTCATTATTATTTTTTTGTTGTATTATATTCTTAGTTCATTTACTAAATTTTCACCTATATTTTTGGTTACATTTTTTTTATTTCTAGTAACAAATTTATCAACAAATCCTTTTTGAGATTCCGTTAAGTCATCTCTTTTTTTTTTTTTGAGCTTTTCTTTTCCACCTGGTTGTTTTCTACATGCCATACTAACAAATATTAATTAGACAATCACAAATAATGAAATAATCACACACAATCTATATTAAAAAAATATAATAAGAACTTTAAATAAAAAATTCAAAGTATAGAATAATGACACTTGATTTGTTGTTATTTTTGATATTCCCGCAAAATCCGATTATCACCGTAGCAGCGGTTATACTTGATGTCAAAACAACCCATCCTTAAAAAGACATAATCAAGCTTAAAAGGCACAACCCCGCACCTCAGCCAACAAAGAATAATGCCAAACAAACTGAATTCACTGTCATGGAGACAAATTTTACAGTGGAGAGAGGACAAAGAGAGAGCCTTTCCAGATTATTTTGTCTTGGATAGAGGAGAGAGAAAGATAAAGATAATTAGGAGTGAGTGGTTAAAAAAATTATGTTAAAAAAGTGTGATATAAAATATCTCTTGAGTTGACAACTATACATCATTTTTACCGATATATTTTTTTTAATAATTATTTTGGTACATGGACAGAAGAAATAAGCTCAAACTATCTAATTTAAAAGATTATGTTGAATGTTTAGTTTTTGGTAATTTTCTTATGGAGCCTGGTTTTTGTTTGCTGAACAGTCAAAGTTTGTAGAAAATGCCAGAATTTGAGAAAAATTATCTGACAACTCGAATGTGTAATATTTTATACTTAAACTGGTCCACGTGCGGCATCAACTATTATAGAAATAAGTGATGTGATTGAAATGAAGAAAAAAAATATATGAAAATAAAATTCAAACTCCAAACTTGCTTATTATATAAATATTGTTGTGTGTGTGTGGAATATGATGTCTCAACCTCCAGCAGCATTGACATTAAACATTGCAATTTTTGTAGGTCAAAAATGGCAGAAAACTGGTGAGATTTGAACATAAAAATTGACTAGCAGTCTTGACTTGAGAGAAACCAAATGTCAGGCCCCCTGGAGCCTTGGTTGGAGTGGGTTAACATTTCAAAAGCATCTATCCTAAATTGTTGTGCTCATCCAAGACTTCGCAATGGGGGGTGGTTGTGTGTGGGTGTGTATGTGTGAAGAACTCAACTACTGTCAGTGTCAGTTCCCATTGACCATTTGCACTTCACATGCATAAAGAAACTTTATTGTATGCTCCGTCGGTCCATACAATAAAGTTCTGATAACTAGTACGCAAAATGCCTCTCCGTGAACACTTGGCTAGTACCTAAAAGTCCAAGATCACACACACACATACATACATATATTTCAAGGGTGGGCCTATTGCGACCCTATAAATTTTTATTCTCACCCTACTTAATTTTTTATTATCAAATTATTAAATTCCTTTCTTTTATACCCACTAGTAACTAAATCTATCTTATACTACTTTCACCCCATGAATAATCAATGTTAAATATCGTTTTTCCAACCATCACCCCCCATATTTAAGAATCCAGCAACCACCCGAAACTTGCAATGTCCATCTCCTAGGAC